TTTTTCCTTGGCTTAGTGATTTGGGGGTCCTAAGATTTATTTTTCTTTCACGGTATCAAAACATAGAAAAGTTAATGCCTTGAGCCATGAGTTTAGGAATTTTTCAGCTTCATTGTTATCTCATGGGACCACCATCACATATATGCGATGCACAACCATAAAAATCACATTAAGTTAAACTCAGCTTACGCTGAGCTGTGAATCCAGATGGTCCTGGAGCCTTTTCCACTGGGAGATCTTTAAGGACCTTTCCAAGCTTTTCTATGCTAATTGGTCTATTCATAGTTGCCTTATTTCGTTGCCCTTATTTATTTATTTATTTTTATTTATTTATTTTTTTGAGACGGAGTTTCACTCATGTTACCCAGGCTGGAGTGCAATGGCGCGATCTCGGCTCACCGTAACCTCCGCCTCCTGGGTTCAAGCAATTCTTCTGCCTCAGCCTCCCGAGTAACTGGGACTACAGGCACGCACCATCATGCCCAGCTAATTTTTGTATTTTTAGTAGAGACGGGGTTTCACCTTGTTGACCAGGATGGTCTCAATCTCTTGACCTCGTGATCCACCTGCCTCTGCCTCCCAAAGTGCTGGGATTACAGGCTTGAGCCACTGCGCCCGGCCTGCCCTTATTTATTAATGTGTATTTTTGCTGGGGAATCACCCAATTTTTTCTAGGTTTCCAGTTTGATGCAGTTTGTTTTCTTGACTTTTTAATTTTTCCTCTGCTTTTAGTTTTGTACGTAATTTTTCTAATTTTACACTTTTAAATTAACAATGTTTTAAAAATATGCCTTTTAGGTTTTTTTGAAGAATTGTTATGTTTGACAATTTCTTAGGACCTAATCATGACCTTAAATGATTTTTAATTAGTTTTAGCTTAATGTCTTTTGTAGGACCCAACTGTTAAAAGACTAAATTACAGCAAATGTAGGTTTGCAGATCTTAATTGGCTTTTGTTTGTGGTTCTAGAATGAGGCATCAGTCCAGACCAAAAATGGTTCAGAATGCTTTGCCACGCAACATGTGGAGGTCATATTTTATAGCCGGAGAAAAGAAAGTGACATGCAGAAAACAGAATTGAAGTATAGGGATGGCTGGATTGGTTACAGTCCTAGTTACAGCCCAGATCTGCCTTCATGGAACCTGGTTTGAACAGCTCACTGACATTCGGCTGATGTGATCAGCTGAACCTCCTCTATTTGTTACAATGATAAATTCCCAAGTCAGGTTCTCAGCTTGTTTATATACTAAATTCGGTTGGGGTTCTTTACAAGGATTACTTGGGAGGCTTCTAAAACCCAAATGTAGTTTGATGTAAGAATTCCTCCCTTTTGGTCAGCCTCTCAATTTTGAGATATTGACCAAACTTTGGGCATTGGTGTCACTCTTTTTTACCTTTGTAAATTGAATTATTTGTATTTATTTGGTTTCGGTGTTGCATTTACAAGTTTTATTTGGTTTTAGTGCCCAGTGGGCGGTAGCAGAACACTGTGTTGTGTAAGGTGGGAACAAGGAAACAGAACAATAGAAAATCACAACCGATTGGTTAATATTAGATAAGTTTGGATTACTTGTTATGGTAAGAGGTAAAGCAGAGTGCGGAAGGAAAATAAAATGGAATAAAAGGAAATAAAATAGAACAGAATGTAGTTTAAATAGTAAGCATAACACAGGTGGTAGTTTATTAAAAGTAAAGGCGAAGCAGACCGAGCACCACCCTCTATGTAGTTAAGAGCAGAGCATGCCCTTAGGTCCGCAGCCCACACATTCCTGCATTTCCTGTTCTTCTGATCTCCCTGGGTGACCTCCCCCCACCTTTCTACCCCTTACCTCAACCGCAAGACTCTAGAGTCCAATGACCACGAAGCCCAAGATTGTAAAACTCGATTGACTGCCTTTGTCTGAAACCCGCCTCCTGCCTTGATTTCCCGCCTCAAACAGCATATAAGTGAAACTGCCGCTTTTGTTGGGGTCAGCCGCCTTTTTAGGCATGAGTCTGCTGCTGTCCACAGCGTCGGAAACAAAATTCCCTTTGGTCTGCACTGGTCTCTTTGTATTCTTAAACTGTTGTATGCTGCAACAGAGGGGACATGTTTATGCCGACTCAGGTGGACTGGAATCTCTTCAGGGAGCTTGGTTGTGTGGCGTTCAGTATGAATGTCTCAGTTCTGGTTTGGCCTGCTCAGTGTGGCCTAACGCAGGCGTTCAAACCAAAACAATGACCTTCCATAATTTGTTTAATAGTTTTCCCCTTTTGGTTAGGTTCTCACCTAGGTGAGGGTGTGACCAAAACTCAGGGCATTCACTATCATTTTGGGTTTCCAGTCTCAACACATCCTTTCAGAAATCAGTGAAGCTTTCTTCTATTGTGACAGCATATTTAATACTGAGAAGGAAAAGGAACTTTTTATCTGGGGAATGTGAGCTTCCTCTAAATTACCAGGTTCAGAGAGGCATGGAAATGAGGCAGCAGTTATGTCCCTCATCTCCCCTTAGCTGCTTGCTGTGTAGACTAGACCGTTATCGGCTATAAATTAACCTAACAGTGCCACGTGCCGGACATCATAACTCATACCCTGTAGTTCGACTATAGCCAAGCACTAATCAGTGTTGTTTCTGAAAACCAGTGGGGATTCCTGACAAACAGCTTAATGTCAGCCCACTCCTTGTCCTCCTTTTTCCCTTTGAAAATCTTGTAACAGAGACTAAACAGAGCTTATAACGAAGGATATTTGGGTGTGAGTCTTCCTGGTAGTTGTCCTTACCTTTGTTCAAGTGGACTCATTAATGTTACATTCTGTGTTTCAGCTTCTTCCTTTAGGTCTACAATATGAATATACTGTTGCATGGTATATTTATTCCCACTTCCTGCTGTGCTATTTCAATGTAAGGAAGCATATTTTGAATTTGATATTGTCAACTGTATTTCATGAATAACTTTTTCCTCAGAGCATTGGATACTGCTTTGGTATTTTATTACAGAAATAAAGCACAGATACGGTTTTATCATTATCTTCATTACTAGCTGTATTGACATCTAAATTTGGAAACATTCCAGATTGTGGGCTTCCAGTCATTCTTTGTGATCCTCTAAAAGGTAAATTATTTTGTTCCCAACAAGATACAATGACATCTAAAGTCACATTAAATGTCCTGACACTTTTGTTCTCTAGTTTGATCAATTTCTGCAAAGCATCATTGAGGAAATAACTTTGAATGTACCTTTAAACTCTTCTGTATTAGAAAGCATCATGATGAAACATTGAATGATTGTGGTCACAAATTCTGTTTCTATTCTTCCTGTCTTTGAATATTTTTTCCAGTGGAAAACATTTGCTTCTGTTGTAGCTAAAAGGAATGATGGGGAACAAAATAAAGACAATTATTCATAGAATAAGTAATCCAGTCACAATGAATCAATTGGCAATTTGAACTTTGTTTTTCTTTTTTTACAAAGTCATACTTTTGACAGTGTCTAGCGGTAAATTGAAATAGTCTCCAAAATGTGAATATTTTCCCTGGTTCTAAGGTGACCAGCTTTCCTAGAGAGTGAGCCGTACCACAAGAAAAAAGATATGATAAATATGTTTATGCATATGTGTTATCTTAAAACATGTAAAAGAGGCATTTTTTTTTGAAATTATAGCTGGGCGTGGTGGCTCACGTCTGTAATCCAAGCACTTTGGAAGCCAAGGCGGGTGGATCACCTGAGGTCGGGAGTTCAAGACCAGTGTGACCAACATGGTGAAACCCCATCTTTATAAAAATAATAATAAAAGGCCGGGCGCGGTGGCTCAAGCCTGTAATCCCAGCACTTTGGGAGGCCGAGGCGGGTGGATCACGAGGTCAAGAGATCGAGACCATCCTGGGCAACATGGTGAAACCCCGTCTCTACTAAAAATACAAAAAATTAGCTGGGATTACAGGCACGCACCACCATGCCCAGCTAATTTTTTG